ATCGCATCCATCTTCACCTCGTATCTATTCCTACAATCCCTTCAGAAAGTGGAGCGTTCATTTCACATCTCTTCGCACCGACCGAGCACAATGAATGCTTAGCGACACCTCATTAGCACGCGAGGTTTCATTGTAATCGCTGCGACATGCCTATGGAATTTAGTAAATCTTCATTCTATGTGCACGCTGCTACATAATTAATTTTCAGTATGAGCAGTCGCCGAAAGGCTAACCCAACACGTCTAAGCGAACCAGAACTTAGCGACGTCGTGCAACCGTCCACTTCCGTGCTGAGTTCGGCCGAAATGATCGAACATCTTGTGGATAACACAAAGAATCGTCACATCATGGTGACAGACGAGGTACATTTTAAACGTTTCTTGAGGGCAGAGTGCTTCCGCAGCAAGCTACATAGGCACTCCAGGAATCACGCGTATTTTCAACGACATGACATTTGAATAAGGCCGAACACCCACTTTCTTTCATCCAGCTGCATGCGGTGGCGGTGTGTTTGATTGTGTGGCATTCGTTGGGCTATCAGTTACAATCTTGACCTTAGTGTTTTGTCCTGGGAATGAAATTATTGCAGTCTTATGCACACGCAAAACGAACGAGCACTAAGCTAGGGGGGGTGGTGAGAGAAGTGAACTCATACGGTTCAATCCCTTTCAATCCCCACGCGAGTAGAACCTGACTTTCGCTGGAAAGCATAAATGAATCGTGTTGTAATTACTCGCGCCGTGCAGGTTTCGCATTGAACTGCCATTTTATCAGCCACTTCAACTATCTGGTCTCTGCCAAACGTCAAAACAGGCAACAATATATCTAGATTTTCCATCGTTGCTTTCAACTTTCCCTCGTCGATTTTGTGATATTTAAGCAACCACTTTTTTTCCAAAAAAGATTGTTTAGCAATATTTGCATTAATTATGCATAATTGATGTGGAAACATTGTCGCGAGAAGGATACGTACGAGATATAGCTGATTGGTGTCCAATTTCGTTGCGTTTTACAAAGAGAGTCGCAAGGGGACGCGATCGGGGTAGGAGGAGTCAGGCAAGCCTTCTCCCCTCAAATACATTGTCCTTTCGCCGATCTTTTCCGCTGTCACTTGTCGTGATAGCATGCAGCTTGCTTATAACAAGGTCACTGGACTCTTCCTATCATTGGTGCAGTTACTGTTTTCACGTCAAGATCCAGTGTGGTGTTAAGTGGTTTTCATTGCAGGATATGGATAATTCACCAAATCCAGCAGCATCTCCACCAGCTGCTTCAATAAAGAGCAGTGCTAGTAGTACTTCCGAGCATACGAGGTTGGTCATGTTATATTGGTCTAGATTATTGGATTCTTGGTTCTTCACTTACTCTTTAACAGTCTAATTGTTTGGAAGACTCTTTTCGCATTGTCTCAGTTCCCACTACCTCTTTCTTCTGCCGGCAATAGTTCATCGCTTACAAGAA